ATCCGCTTGATTTTTCTAGGAAACAACAACAATCAACAATTGAATTCCGAAGGAAAACACAGATAGGAATAACGCACAAGTTGAGCCCCATCCCGATAGCGTCGCTTCCAATCAAGACGTCGTAGCCGCTTTCAGTATTGTTGAAGAGATGAGCCTGCTCTGACCGAATTTCGGGTGGAAGTCGACCGTATGCCACGGCACACTTCATCCCAGTACCCATCTCGATATCTTTCTTGAGTTTGAAGATCCCCGACCTGGAAAACGAAACTACGCAGTCTCCCGTCTCTACGTTCTTGATGTCTCCATTCAAACTTTCTTTGGAAACATGTAGAGGGGTTAACCGCTTGTAACGATTGACGATGATTTCATCACCAGTGTCGCGAAGGAGCCTTTGGACGAGTGGTACAGCGGTCTCCTCTCCACATACATGAAGCTCTCGAGCATTCAATCCAAGGATCGCATCTAACCACGCACCACCACGATCCGGGGAAGCAATCATTTGAATTTCATCGATGACAGCAACATCCACCGCACTGGTAAAACCAATCATCTCTACCGTACAACTCGCAAGACCGCAATTCTCGTCGAGAATACGCTGCTCTTCACCGGTGATGAGGTTGCAAACTCGCGCGAACTTCGAGTTGGCCTTCTTCTGCACTACTGGTTTCCCATGTACATCCATGACAACGGCCATATTCGTATCCTCGTCGGGCTCTGCATCTGGGTCTGGTTCCATGCCCAAAGGAACTATCTGTCCCTTATTAAGACGTTCCCAGATTTCATGAGCCAAAAGACGTAAGGGACCAGCGTAGACTCCGGTCTTTGCAGCTGCAAGTGCTTGAAGAGCGTTGTGCGTCTTGCCGCTGTTTGTGGGACCAACGTGCATGATCACCTTTCGCGGTGGGCTGACACGAGTGGAAGTGAACGCAGCAGCTGGATCTGATAAGTCCGCTGAATGGAATAACTCGTTCATTCGGAGGAGTGTGGTACTAGGAAGGAGTGCTCGAAGCTGTTCCTTTCCGTGAGCACTGGCGGCCCATTCGAATAAAAGCCGAGTAAGCGTGATATCGCCAGGTTCAAACTTGTTTGGGTCCGAAAGATCATGAGCTAGCCTGTCTATTTGCTCCTCGTCATACTCCAGCGCAGTCAGGACTTCCTGTTTACGAAGAGCGACATGGAAAGCTTTGAGAGCATACGTGATTTGGTTACCCGGTATTCCAAATCTCATCAACCTCTGGCGAACGGCAGGTAGCGTAATCCAGTCCTCGCATACATTGGACAAATGAATAGGGACAAATGAATGTTTGAGCGGAAGTCGAAGACTTTCTGGTTCGAGTATTCGTGGTGGAGATGGCCTTCTCCGGTGCTGTTTGAAATTAGACGATTTTTGAGTCGACCAGGGACGGTCGCTGCCTTTTTTAGAGCCCAGGTCACTTCGAGCTCGGACAAATGACAATATTGAGGGCTGGAGAGCGCGTTGAGATGATATTACTCGTCCATATTGTACTTTTGAAAGGAGTCCTCTGGACAACATTCGCAGTAATGTGTCGATTTCTTCGTCGAATTCCCAGTAATTGTGGCCGGTAAAGGAGGAGAGCGAATCCGAGAAAGCGGTCAAAGACGCGAAGGGTGTGGATCAAGCTGCAGAACTCAGCAAACTGAGTTGCGAAAGAGAAACATGGTACTAATTTGCCACCAAACGAAATCATCTATTTGTCTTTGTTATTTTCCAAAGCATTTGCCTTTTTTGGGATTACACGGTCGCTTTGTTTGGTCTTATTAGGGTCCAAAGCCCTCAACTTTCAAGGCTGTCGAGACCGTAGGCTGGACGTCTAACCTTTCCAACATGGCCACAGTCACCCCAAGTCGCCTAGCAGCCCTGCAACGCCTTCGATGTCATGTTTTTCAGACATCATATAATCCTAATGGCATTCGCACTGGTGCCAAATACCTCCGCAAAAATCTCGTTGGCCCAGCCATGATCAACTACTACCCACAGGATTTCTCAATCCATGCTCTCAGGAAACTCGTTCCTGGTTGGGATGCTCCTTTGCTAGAGGAACAGCAGAGGCTGGCAGATGTTCAGGATAGGAAGAATCGTGGAAAGGGTGCACCCAAGAAAGCGAAGAGCAAAGGTATGTTGCTTCATCGACTGCATTTGTATGTTTATTTATCTTACACCTTCTTCAGCGGAGAGTCGTCGTGCTGGAAAGAGGAGATAAACATGGCCCATACTCCATTACTCTGTCTCCATGTTCTACACGTCCTAATCTATGTCCTCCTAATCATCTGGGACTTGTGTGACACAACATCTAAAACACTCTCGGTCATCCATTAGCCCAATCATCTTTAACCGGTATCGATTTCCATCCCTTTGCTAAAGTTATATGTGGCGGAATTCGAGTCAGCATGTCACCGTGGTTATTCCTTGTCGACTAGTATATTGCTCACGCGCACAAGATTGTGTAGGTTGTTTTCTTTTACGCGCCATTAACCTGTCTTCATCTTAGATGTTTCCGCCTTATTTACTATGGGCTCCAAACACAAATTACCTGGCTGCGGGTGTCTAGCAATTCCTGAATTCTGCGGGTTGTGTAGGTTTCCTTCTCAACGCGAAAGGCAGTCGAAACCCATCCTCGTAACAATGCACATCACCATTCAGCAAATATTAATGGTATTCTCTCAACTAGGCCTTTACTCAGTCACCCTCGAAGTCACAAAAGAAAGTTCGCAGGTGGCATAACGGCGTGAGTTTCACGTGAATGGGCGCCTCCCCACCGTTCTGCAAGTGCTGGGTCTTACCTTTGCACTTTGACTTAGATCCATAACCATCTTCTCATACTAGTGCACGAAAATATCGAGATAAAACCTAATTCACCTCATCCGCTCTTCCTTGTTTTCTTTTGGAGCCCACGATGCTGGCGGACAAACAAGGCGGACCACGTAGTCCGCTCTCATTCATACCTCCCCAAATCGTGGGTCCAAACATTTCTAGCGAGAGTGGGTCCCCATATGGAAGATACGCATCTCAATTTGGTCTTGCACTGCACATTTCATCAGTGAGTTAACCACATTCTAATACTTGGCTATATGCACCTATCTCCGAAGCCAGAATGCTCCCCCTGTTTTTCATCCTCAGGCTCCCGCACTCGAAGCACACCTCGATAAACTACGTATCGTCGAAGCTCTGTTGGCTCGTGACGCCGTCGTACATCGTTTGGAAGGTGCTTGTGTCTCCATACGCACTAAACAAGCAACTATAGACAAACTACAGCAAGAACTGGACGAGTTAAAGCTGGCGTTATGTATGAAGGAAACCAAGTTGAATGAGATTGTAGCGAAAGAATCTGTGGGTGATAAGGAGAATGACACACGGATCGAGTCGTTGAGGTTGAACGAAAACATGAAGAAGCTAGAAGAGTTGAATCTGGAGTTGAAAATCGAACTAGAAACGGTCAAGGTATGTTGGCATGACGAACCGTGTAAATAATCAGCACGTTGATATAGCAGAATTAGCAACGCCTTCAAGACCAAGAACTGGTTGCCGTCCGAAGTCCTGTCCTCCCTTATACACCAGTCATGATGTCACCAACGCTTCCAGATACCAATCCAGTGGGTTTAATCGTTTATCTCCTGGGCTTATTGTAGCTCATACAAAATATCGCATAGGAAGATTCACTGCGAGAAACAGGCAAAAGAATTCAGGCCAGATATGCCATACTTGCACAATTACCCATCCCACCCAACATGCCTTCTGAAATCTTAAGACCTATCCTAATACCCCTTCCCTATACGATACATGATTTTATAGGGACTTCTACCGGGGTGAGTGTCCTTTTCCCTCCCAATAGTCCATGATTGTTGACAAGTCGATAGACCATGAAAGCGCAGTGAGTCACATTCACATTCTGAATGCAAAGCACATAATAGTCAATGACATGATGCGCAACAGACTAGTGAACTATCGAGTTTTCGAGGAATACACTACGGCTTGGTGTCCTGAACGTGAAGAACACGGATACTTTCTCGAACCATTGTTCAAATGTGTCACAAATCCGCGAGCATCGACCGCTCATCTTTGGATACCAGTTGATCTTTCTGCGAAGCTGAACAAGACTATGGGTAAGTCCTCCATTGACCTCCGTCGTGTCTACTACGTTTCGCATCACTTGACCTCTTGATACGGAACAGAGTGTTTCTATCACAAAGATGGAAAGTGGTATTACGCGGGAATTTACAAGACTTTCCGTCTTGTCGAAGACGTATCGATACATGAATGGGCCAATCTCTCGGACGAGGTATCTTTATCGCTTCTTTACCCGTCTTATTCGTTCAACTCAGCACCAGTCCTTTTCCGACAGGCAACTCAGGCAATAGTTAAACAAACCCTTTTGAACCGTAAGAACACATCACCTCAAAACGTTTACGAGACCTCCCAACTTTACGCCGCCGGTGCATTGAAAGTGGCTTGTATTGGTTTGCAATGTGTAGGTTTTAACAAAGGCTTATATGATGAGCTTTTAGGACTGGCGGAGGAGTGTAAGAAGGTCGGACGCTGGCGCAGTCCGAGTTCTGTCGATGTCTCAGGGGAAGGGCGTATTACATCTCCTCACGTTGGTCCAGGACTGGGAAACATGGGCGTTACGTGGAATGTCAATGCAAATGTGGGCGGAAGGAAGGATGTCACAGGTACGAAAGTTGGACAAAATGAAGGACTTGGAGAGAAACCGGTACCTCAAATTCAGAAGATTGCTTAAACACGAACCAAGACCTTTTCTTCCATTCCTTGGATCCCAAGTATTGCAAATGGACAATGAACTTTAACTATGGATGGACTTTCTCTTCAGTGGCGAGCCAATGTGGCCTTACAACATGTATCATTATGATTGCGTCTGTTCACACCTTTGCATAACATCGGAGACGTGTGTTAGAGTGTGTATTGATATGAGAGTTCCTAAGAGAAGACTGAACATAGCTATATTCACAACTTCGTAAGTTAAGCCATCGTGGCTCAATGGTAGGGCGTCGCTTTCCTACTGAATTGTGTAGTAGGCGAAGATTGCGGGTTCGAGTCCCGTCGTTGGTAGTGGGTTAGATTTTTGTAGCAAACTATTATTGGTAATAACACATACATTCTACAGTAACTTGGGCCAATATGCAGTACATTCTGCTCGTGTTAGCAAGGTAGATGCTACTCCCTCCAGTTTTACAAAAAAAAGATAGATATGCAGCAATTGTCAATGAGTAAACACATCAAGGACTTCTAATCCTTCCTGCATCAACCTTATTCTCGATATCTAACATCTTGCAAAAGGCAGCCGTTTGAGGATTGGGATAATAAGGTGCTGGTAGGAGATTGATAAATTCTTCGAAAATCAATGTGTTATAACGGTAAAACGTACGCTGTTGTTTGTTTCTTCCTTGTTCTTTCTCGTTACTGGGACCCGGAGCTACCTCCTCAAAAACCTGAACATCAGTGACCCTTTTGTCGGTCCCTACGTTCTTGAGGACCCATTCAAGTTGCTGAGCAACCATTGCTCGTGCAGTTGGTTCATCAGGGTATGGAAGTTGAGAGCGATTTGAAGAGAAGAAGGTATTGAATGCACGGGTTATTGCTAGCCATTCAGGGTCAAAGGTTAATATCGGTGTTGTTGGGGCCGACGTTTCTGTTGTAGATGGAGTGGGAATATCAATTACCTGCGATTTATCATCAGGGCATGATCGAAGAGGGAATGTTTAAGAAGACTTACTTCTAGGAACTGTCGTTTCGGCAGGCATTTATCCAATGCCAAGAATTTAGTTACTTTTACAATTCTTGCAGGGAGAGGAGGTGGAGGTGGTGCTACATCCTCTTCTTCATCATCAAGTCGAATTTCATCTGGATTCGACGGTACTGGAGGTACAGTATCTTGTATCGTCTCGGAGGCTGCTTTGACTTCACCGGCTCCTTCAAAATCGTCGTCGTCAATCACAATTTCATCCGGATTGTCCACCTTCACCTCCTTGGCCTGGTCACTACGACCTTCGATGAACTCTTCATGCGTAACCTCTGCTTCAAAACGACAGTGCAAATGTGCTGCAAACCACCAATCTGGCTTCAATGTACCCAACAAACCCCAAAGGGGAGGTGATCCGAGGTTCCCTTCCTGTATGTCTCGTTTGAAGTACGGTTTACGCCGTAGCAGCGAAGGCAGATCACCATGAGCAGTGATGTGGACCGGCCAATCATGCGAGAGGAAAATCGTTGGAGAGGAAAGCTGCTCAGAGGTCAGAAAAGGTATAAACATGAGAATGTAGGAAGGATTTACAAGTGACAAACGTCGAATATTGAATTCTCTGATGTGATAGATGCTTCTCATTGACCCAGCATTGTATGGAAGCCGTTCGAAATGCCCTGTCAGAATGGGGTTCGATTTTAGTTGGACCCAGATGCTTTTCAACAATCAGGTATATTCACCAAGCGAAAAATCCTGGCCTTTAAAAATGCCTGATGCACCTGCGATTCTAATCCCGTTAACCTGTATACAGCCTGCATGGCCGAGGAAATACATGTTTGGAGCGATCCATCCTCCGTGGTACCTACACAAATCATGTTCAATGAGGTTTATACATCGAACATCTGACAAAACTCACAGTTCCCAAAAATAATTTGAGGCTTCATGGTTTCCTCCGATGATAATTGTTAGAAGAGGCGCAGTCTCTTTGCCAGTATAGTACCTGTTATACAAGTTCAGATCAATGTCAATACCAAACGAGATCATAAATAGCTCGCATACCTACTTCCAAAACTCTCCTAATTGCCTGTATTTATCAGGAACAGCCATGCATTGCAAGTCACTTTCATTCCTCATAGCTTGGAAGTCTCCGCATATAAGCAGTAGGTCAACTTTATAGCCATTTTTTGACTCGAGGGTGTGTATCTGGTCGTAAATAGAGGACAAGGCGCCATGCGCACAACCTTCGACAGCAATCTGAGAATTCGATTCGTAAGCCATGAGTTGATATGTTATCGACCGGGTTGTTACCTTCATAATGAGTCTTGAGGGAAGAGATAGTGGTATAGATCGTGAATTCACTACATAGTAAAAGCATGAAATGATGATTACGTAACATCAATATATGCCCGAGAGAGAGGATATATCATGTCTTGAACACCGACTTCCACAATGAATCTCTCCTCTGACTCCCTGCTAGCTCTTCAAGCCGCAATAAAATCAAAACAAGACATTAAATATACAGATGCATCCAGAAAGTCCGTTTCTACCCCCTCGTCTGCCACACATCTTCAAATTGCTGGCGCATTATTCTTGAAGACTTCACCGACGCGTCTGAGGAAACCAGGCGTGAGTTCAACAGACCCAACATCAAATCCACAGGATTTTTTCAGTTTGGAAGCGGTATATCTTGCTTGGCTATTGAGAGATGCTAGCGGTGCGGAGTACATGAAGCAGGCGCGAGACCGCGGTCTATCCGTTGGTTTCGTTAGTGTCACCGAAAGAAAGAGCGTAGTGGACTGGTTGGAAGGGAGGGTTGCAGATTTGGAGAGGATAATACCTTTATCTTGTACGTTGTTTTGTTCCACATCTCGATAATTCTACTTCAACAGTATGGGTTTGTTATAGCAGGATCCACAACACCTCCAGGTTCACCACCTGCTCACTTGAAAGCCTCAACGTCAAAGTTTCCCCCAAGCTCATTACCCTCATTTGCCGGTAACCGCGCAGTGGATTCGACAAGCTCGCCGCAAAAGAGGCGATATATCCCGGACAATGCTGACATAGAAGTTGTCAAGAAGATTAAAGCAAACGAAATCGAACTTCGAGACCGCACAACAGTGTTACGAGGGACTAAGAGTAATGTGAGAGTATTGGTACATCGTACCTCCTGCTTGACTAAATTGGCTTGGTAGAACTTTTCGTCTGTAAGGACCGCATTTGCCGAAAGGCTGAAGAAACTAAAGGAGTCGGGCAAAGGGGGAGCGACAGCCCCAACAGTGACGACGCCAGGTGTGTATCTGCGATTTCCACACATCATTTGTCTTGTTGACGATATTTCACCACAGACCCCAAACTTCAAGCTCGTAAAGCCAAGAATCAATACCCAATCATCATGATTTCCTCCTCCCCAACTGCACTGATAACCATGCACAACGTCAAGCGTTTCCTTCAAGAGTCATCCTACGAACCTTCGCAAGAAGCTCGTTCCCGTGCTGCAGCGGAAGGAAACGCTCGTCCAGAAGATTTGATTGCTATCTACCGAAAACGCACGACGGTGGATACCAGTGGAAGAGAGATAGAAACCCACGTCCGGTATTTTGTGGTCGATAGTACGGAGGCGCTAGCCAAGTTTGGTCCAGATGCTTGGGACAGAGTTGTCTGCGTTATGACTACGGGTCAAGCGTGGCAGTTTAAGCCGTACAAATGGAGTGACCCAAAAATTCTCTTCCATCACGGTAAGCCTTCAATTTCATCTTCGCAATACCGAGCTCCCACTCATACGTTAGTTTAGTGAAAGGTATATACTTCTCACTAACGTCTGACCCCCACAACACCAAAATCAAGGATTGGAACGTCACCGAGCTGAGCGTATGTCGACTTTCCTATTTGATATTTATGCATCGTTATTCATTGCGTGTTTTTCTCAGTTGGATCCTCATAGAAGACACATTGATCGAGCAGTCGTCGCGCATTTTTGGAAGTTACTCGATGACTGGACAATGCAAAACAAACCTTGGCTCATGAAAGGATAACAATATTCACTCGGAGTCACATTTTTTCCTTCCCTTTCGGCTGTATCTACCTGTATTATTTTTCTTGAAATGGTTCAGAGACCGTATTCAATGTCCATTCATGATTGTATCGCGCTACGAGGATTTGGGAAACTGAATGATATAGTGAGACTGAAGAGATCAGCTTCATGAACAAGCGCCTATTTACTTGATATTCCTCGAAAGGAAACTATAAGAAGGTACAAACAGAGCCAAACAACGCTCACTTTAAAAATCTTTTCGTTTGACCACTTTCTCTTCAACAGTCGCTCGCTCTATCGCCCAATTACTCCAAATCTCTGGAAACTGAAGGTGTGTATCCTTTCGATTTTGCATAGTGATGACATTACTGCCGCCCCAGTCGTAGCAATACGCTTTGACGACAGGCAGCGCAATAGCCAAACTCATTTATTTGCACCACTGAATTTTTCTTTATTCAATCTTTCTATATTCATCAGTCGACTTACCACCCTTTCTTTTCCTTCAGGTCATTGAAGTATTATCTCGTGATTTAAACATTCAGAGGTGAGCCAGAATCTTTACTCGTCATTTATTTTCTTCTGTCTATCTTGAGATGAACCCCAAACCGAATGCAATTAGGAAGTGCCGTCTGATAGCTCTCTCTTCGGAGGGTAGCATCTGTCGAGACGCGGTTCTCTGAACTTCCTTTCTTTCAGTTGGACGAATTGGACGAGTTTGCTCATCATTGCTTTTGTTCATAGGATCCCGAACCGTTTGCACAGATGGTTTCTTTCCGTACTGTAGCTTTGAGATATGTATTGTCCTGTTGTTCTCGTATTGGTCTACAATAAATTGTCTCGTTCGAAATATCTATCGTTTGCATGTGCGTCGGTTGATCCCTGAACATCAAAAAATTCAAAGTTAACTGGTCAATTTGTGATGTAATTTATGGATATTTTGACAGAACTGCGCTCGGAGGATTGAGCGCCTATATAACTTCACCTTCACTTTCATCTTCCTTCATCGCCGTTTGTGTCCCTGTAGTCGTTGTGGGCACCTCACTCAACACCATAGCTGACGATGTCGCAATGGGGACAGAATTACCAGTATACTGGTTATAGCAACCCCCAGCAGTTCCAGCAGGGCATTCAACCACAGCCGACTGGATTTCCTGGACAGCAGCAACGTCCTCTCGGATTGCAACCTCAGCCAACAGGTTTTCCGGGAGGATCTGGTTTTCAACAGCAGCCTCAGATGGGTTTTGCGCCTCAACAGACTGGGTTCCAACCACCACAGCAGACTGGATTTCAGCCACAGCCAACAGGTTTCCAACCTCAGCCGACAGGATTTCAAGGTAG